AATCAACCCTCCGCCGCCCCTGCTCACGCATTTATTTTTTTTCATTTATTCTAGCCCCTTTACCATTTCCACTTATAAAAGTCCAGGTAACAATTTTCTTTTTTTTTCCCCTCTAAATGAGTTATTTTGATCGGTCTACTTTATTTATTCAAAAAGTCTCCCTGTTTTTTTATATGTGTAAAACACCCTATGTAATAATCACTATCACTAAGCAGTCCTGTATAAGCACGTTATGTGGCATGCATTTTTCAATAATACTAGATTTTTCAAATTTCTAGCTGCTCCTCCTGAATTCGCCGAGGAAGCTGCCGTAGCCAGTGCACGGGATTTTCAGACTGAAGTGAAGAGCACAAAGGTCATTTCAGAAGACATATCGGGGATTAGACCGATGGAAGTTATCGGTTACATAGGTGTCACAAAACCAAAGGTCCCTATGAAGCCCAAATAGCATCGAATACCATTGTGGTTAATACATATATTATTATATTTATTACTATTTTTTCAATAAAAGCTTTATTGAAAGGAATATTTCCACATTTGAAGTTAAAAACGGTGGTAAGTTAAGATCTGATTTTTACAATAGTGCGACAATTCTGTCTAGTGATAAATTTACAGCTATTTAGATATTACTATCTAATAATTAATTGCTTTTCAACGAACTCCTTGAATTATGCATGTTTATAGTTACATAAAAGATACTTATGCACTTTTAAGAAATAAATTACCTTTATCAAATATAATAAATTACCGGTTTTGATTTGAATAACGTTTAAAATTTCTATTTTCTCTAAATTAATTTGCATTGCATTTTAAATTTTTAACAACTAAATTAATATTGTAGTTTAATACGCAGCAAGAATTAAAACGGGTTCATTTTAAATATTTCGAGCTCGAACCTGATATTTCGAGTTGGAACACGAAATTATTATACAGGGTGTCCGGAAATGATGAGCAAAAAATTCAGGGGATAATTCTAGACCGAAAATAAATCCTACCTCTTTCTATAACATTTTTTCCAAAACTGATTATTAACGGAGTTACAGGGTGTTAAAGTTAAATTTTATTTGCAGTTTTTTTGCAATACCTTTTGCCACACTCATAATATTTTGACGAAATTTCGTATATGGGGGTTTTTCGGGATGAGGATTATAAATTTGCCCACCGTTTTTTCGCATTTTGTAGAGGGCGCCACATACGAGCCTTTATTTTGATTTGAATGGTTCCAACTTTTTTGTGCTACACTTTATGCGACTTTTGACTGAATATTTTTGTTCTCCTAACCTTTTGACATAAAAAAGGTATACTTTATTTGTTTCGATAAATCTAACCGTTTTCGAGAAAAACGCTAAAATAACATTGCTTGCATGTGATGAATACGAAATCATTTTAATTTATTTTCTACATTAAACATAGCATGCTTTGGAAACAAGCGCTTAGTTGCCTTGGAAACAAGTTTGTGGAGAATTAGTTTTGACAGATAGTAATTTTTGTGAAAATTTGTTGTTACGCTGATGGTGGTTAATGATAAATAATAAAAAAATAACGTCCTCAACAAATAAAGAATGGTTTACTAACAAAATCATAAGGTTAAAATACATAAGTTACTAGAACAATACAAATACAAATTAAACATTCAAATCAAAGGTTCAAAGTGACGTCCTTCCTCTTCAATGCATAAATTAATTCTTCTTAAAAAATTCCGACGAACTCTATGGAATATTCCTTCCTTTTGCTTAATTACCTCACAATTAGCAACAATTCTTTCTCTCAGTTCATCGACGCTATTCACAGGTGTCCTGTATACAAGCGTCTTCAGATAGCCCCAAAAAAAGAAATCGATTGGGTTTAAGTCAGGGGATCTAGGGGCCCACTGTACAAAACCACCGCGTCCTATCCACCTTTCAGGAAAAGTTTCATTTAAGAATTCTCTGGCCGCTAAACTAAAATGCGGTGGCGCGCCATCTTGAAGCAGCCACATTGCATTTCTTAATCCGAGTGGTACATCTTCCAATAGAATAGGTAAGTGGTTTCTTAAAAAATCCAAGTAAACTTCACCATTGAGTCTTTGTGGAAAGAAATGTGGCCCAATTAAGTAGTCCCCTACAATACCGGCCCACACGTTGACGGAAAACTTATTTTGATAACCACGCTCTATTGATAAATTAGGATTCTCATCAGACCAAAAATGCTCATTGTGGAGGTTTATTAAGCCATCATGGCCAAATCCAGCTTCGTCCGTGAAAAGGATATTACGAACAAAATTTTGGTCACCATTATGAAGTATTCTAATTGTATTGCAGAAATTCACACGAGCAGCAGGATCTACGGCAGATAAGGCTTGCACCTTTTGGTAGTGGTACGGATGAAGGTTTTGTTCGCGTATTGTTTCATGTACGGAGCTCTTTGGAATGCCCTCCTGAATAGCAATTTTTCTTATACTTACATTGGGATTATTCTCTATCGAATTCAAAATACGAGCTTCTGCTTCTGCTGTTCTAGTATTCCGTTGTCGACCTACATCAAAAATTCTAGTTTTGAACGATCCAAATTCTCCCAGTCTTCGATGAATAGTACTGAACATTCGCGATTGGGGTAGGTTTCTATTTGGAAATGCTTCGCGATACAAACGTCGTGCTGCAAGAGCATTGCCAGCAGCTAAACCGTAATAATAATGCATGTCCCGCAACTCCACGTTAGAGTAATTGTTGTTCATTTTTATTATTATTTTTATGATAACAATTACTACAAAAGAACTTGTACAAAATTACTATCTGTCAAAACTAATTCTCCACAAACTTGTTTCCAAGGCAACTAAGCGCTTGTTTCCAAAGCATGCTATGTTTAATGTAGAAAATAAATTAAAATGATTTCGTATTCATCACATGCAAGCAATGTTATTTTAGCGTTTTTCTCGAAAACGGTTAGATTTATCGAAACAAATAAAGTATACCTTTTTTATGTCAAAAGGTTAGGAGAACAAAAATATTCAGTCAAAAGTCGCATAAAGTGTAGCACAAAAAAGTTGGAACCATTCAAATCAAAATAAAGGCTCGTATGTGGCGCCCTCTACAAAATGCGAAAAAACGGTGGGCAAATTTATAATCCTCATCCCGAAAAACCCCCATATACGAAATTTCGTCAAAATATTATGAGTGTGGCAAAAGGTATTGCAAAAAAACTGCAAATAAAATTTAACTTTAACACCCTGTAACTCCGTTAATAATCAGTTTTGGAAAAAATGTTATAGAAAGAGGTAGCATTTATTTTCGGTCTAGAATTATCCCCTGAATTTGTTGCTCATCATTTCCGGACACCCTGTATACAATGTGTTAAAATTCATTTTATAGCTTGGAAATCTACCTCACTATGCGAAACTTTTGTTTCCATCCCAATTCTCCCAACCATATCAGTTCAAACTCGAAATTTCATTATAATTTAACAAAATACAAATTTTATTTGTCGCAAGATATCAAAATACTATTAATTTTTGGCATGATGTCGTATAATCAGTACAGTTTAAATGAACTGGCAGACATGCATTTGGTACATGCATTATATATACAGTATATAGGACAAGAGGGTCCATCTAATTGTTGACATTGCCCGCAGTTTTAGGGGAAATTAGGTCAACAGAGGGCGTTGTGCAAACATTTTGATCATGCATGTCTTGATTGGAGCTATTGCGCAACAGTTTGAGTAAATTTAAGCTTGTTTGAAATTATTTGTGCAACGCGTGACTTACTCAAACAAGTTTGAACGTGTATGTGGATGTTTGAAGGGGTTGTATAACGTAACAAACGAATAGTGTCATACAACTAGAGTTGTTCGAGCGGTTTTAAAAAATAAATAAAATGGCTTTATCTGCGGTTGGAAATAAAGAATTTTGACGAGAATTTATACAGATGTATCGTGATTTACCCGAACTATGGGAAGTTAAAAGTGAACTTTATAAAAATCGAAATTTAAAAAGTGCAGGCTATGATAAATTAGTAAACAAATTGAGGGAAATAGATTAAACTGCCGACAGAGATATGCCTAGTTTCAATAAATTTGCACAAACTGTGGCATTCTGTGTATGTATAATCACCAAGTTATACATTATGTTGTATAACAAAAGTTTGCCCAAATTGTTTGATCGTGTATGGGTCCTTTAAGAAAAATTTCCTCAAACAAACGTCAAAATTTGTTGACAAGCATCAGTCCTTAATTTGACTCACCTGTTAGCGTCAGCAAAGCGATATGTTGAAAAGTCGAATTTCTCACCCCAGTACTTTTGTTACAATTGACCAAAGGTTTAGAGAAATAGGTACTTATTTGGCTCTTACTAGAGAACACACTAATCCACGGTCAGTAAGGACTGTAATAATTATTGTGGAAGATGTTGTTTTAAATACCGTTGAAGAAAATCGCCATACGAGTGTAAGAATTGCTGTTGACTTCAGTGTCTATAGAACATTAACATAAGAGCACAACAATTACGGCCCCATCACCTAATAAGTGTTTACGACATTTTGCCTCGAGTAGAAGGCCTAACTACATTTTTGTAACTGGTTCAGAAATAAACAAAAAGAAAAATCTGGAACACAGTTCTATTTACTGGCGGTTTTACAAAGAATGGTGTAATAAATTTGCACAACAAAGGTCTCCGCACGGTCTTCAAAATGTGGGCTTCGTTAAATTGGCTGAAATTGTGATGATAAGGTGTTGGTTTTGTGTTACTGACCAAAAGTAACCAAAGTAATATATCTAAATATCAATAAGTGAATTTTAGAGCTAGAGTGACCTAGATTTTAATATGAGATTGTTTATTCTTTTCCTTCTCTTTCCCTATCTTTTGAGGGATAGAGCCTTGGAGTCCTTTGTGGTTTTTAAGATTTTAAGAAAACTAAAATTGCTAATTAATAAATTGTTTATTTTTAAACTTTAACAAATATTGAAAGATATATTGATATATTTGATTTACAACCCAAACGTTTATTCCCATGATAATTATAGCACACCATATTCAGTTTTAATCAAATCCGCCGCTATTTCGCCGATCAGGTAGCAGATAACATTAACATGCGAAGACGTAGACAGTGGTATAACACTCGCGTCAGCCACTCTCAAATTATCGATACCATGAACCTTTAGTTTGGCGTCTACGACGTCTCCTTGACTAGGATCGGGTCCCATCCTACAAGTGCCTACGGGGTGATTGCTATGGCCACTTATATACTTTAAAGCGCAGTACCAGTAGTCCTTTGACATGTATTCAAAATCGTCCAAACAAACTTCTATGGGTTTAAGTTCTAATTTGGCATCTATCTTTCTAAACGGCTCGGTTTCAGTCAGATTCAAAATTAAAAGGATTGCTTTGTATGCCGTTTCTAGGTCTCTGTTTTCCGGATCGGAGAGACAGTTGGGGTTTATCAATGGGTAGTCGAAAGGAGAAGCGCTTTGTAATCTAATGGTTCCTATGGATTTCGTGTGTAACAAGGCGGGGTACATAGTGAAAGATCCTGTGTTGTTGACACCTTTGGTGGCCTCAGAGATGTTTGCTTTCCATCGTTGTATCGTTTTTAATGCGGGGCTAGTCACGTTAGAAAAGTAGAAATTTATCTCTAGGTCTTGATAGTTTGGAATTTCCTCTAAATCAGTTTGGTAGTAGCCGAGAGCTTGTTGGTTTAAGGCTTGGCTTAGGAATCCGACACCATCCAGGTAATCTTCTATTTGTTCTCTTAACGTCTGTGTTGGTTCGGTGAGATTGCTTGAGAAGGTTATTCCGTATATTAGGGTGTGGTCGGATAAGGCGCTTCCTACCTCCAAATCTTGAATTACAGAAATACCTGAAATTGTAAGGAGAGGCATAATTAAATTCATCTGTCAATAATTACAAAAAGAATATTCAATGAGAAAACCGATTTTTTATTTCTCTACCTATTTGAGGGTTACATATTCGCAGGAATGGGACTGTTTCTTTTTATTATTGTGTTCAAAAATCATAATTTCTTACATTCATTAATTCATTTACCTTTGGAATTACTTGGTAACTAAGACTTACCAAGTTCACTGAGGTGTTCAGATGGACCAATTCCAGAAACCATCAGTAGCTGCGGCGAGTTGATTGTGCCTCCGGACACTATAACTTCCTTGGAAGCAAAAGCTTTGTATGCCTTTCCCTCATAACTGAATATCACCCCTTCCGCCGCCTTCGACTCGTTGATGATTATCTTCATGGCGAAGCTCTTAGTCAGCACCACCAGATTGGATCTATCCAATACAGGCTTCACGAAGGCGGTGCCACTGTCTTGCCTCTTTCCGTCTTTCACGTTAACCTGGTTAGAACTCGTGCCTCTGGGTTGGGGTTCGTTGTAATCAATGTGATTGAAACCTAACTCCTTGTTGGCCTCGTAGAACACCTTGCACAGTTCGGACCTTGGCATGGGAAAGCTGACATGGAGGGGACCGCCTACACCGTGGTAAGTCATGTCTGTCACCGCTTCGGGATCGTTTTTGTTGAAGTCTTCCGATTTCTTGAAATACGGTAGCACGTCTTCGTAGCACCAACCGGGGTTGCTTTGGTTGCACCATACATCGTAGTCCATTTTGTTACCGCGTGCATAGATCAGGGCGTTGAGGAGGGAGGTTCCACCGACTCCCCTGCCTCGGGGATAGGCGCAACGCTCTTCTGTCATTCCTAGAAATACCAGTTCAAGAATATCTCATACGGATTTAATTTTTTTATCGGAATATCAATAATTATGCGTGCAAGATAAAAAATGATATGTAGTTGAAGCACTACGGACAGTTCAGTTATACCATAAATAAAATAAACAACAAAATATAATTTTGCGTAGATATATAGTCGATGAAACTAGTTTCGCAACAAGAGTGTCAACTAAGAACGAATTCAAGTGCTTAATTCCAGAAGAATGAATAGGTAGTGAAAAATCCGATGGGATCAAATGTGGAGAACAAGGAGGCAATGCAACAGAACGTCTACATCCTTCTATTTATATATTCAGCTACTGACATTATTAATATTAATTAAAAAAAAAACTTCATTCATACTCTTATTAGTTCTTTAAAAAATAATTTGTTCTATTTATTTTAAACTCACTAAATTATTATGCATTTATAAGTTGTACCTACTAATTTATAAGTAAGATGTGTTGTGCGAGTGGATCAAAGCAATAACATAGGCCAATTTAAGTACAGGTATGTAGTGCTTGAGGAGTTTATGAAAGTTCAGGAGTTAAAACGAATTCAAAAAGAATTTTGGAATTCACATGTATACACTCTCTTCAATAATGTTTATGAATGATTATCCGCTCTGGAAAAACACTTTCAATCTTTAATGTACTGTAACTCCTAGAATTTATGATACGATTTTATTTAAGGCCCGGTACTTTGAGTCTCGGTTAAGGCTCGATTAACTAATCAGGCGATTAGACTGTGATTCTGTTATACTTATATCATTATATGTACAGTCTAATCGCCTGATCAGTTAATCAAGCTTTAACCGAGACTCAAAATACCGGACCTCAGACAACAAATATGGAAAATTAGTACCTAGACAGGTAGTATTTTGCGGCACAGAGTAGTATCCCCAGTTAAAATCACTGAGCATATTGACGTCGTAGCCCATTCTCGGAATATCAGTAAAATTGTTACCGAATTCACCAGCTTCCAAAACGAGGATATTCCATTCGCTTATTTCTGACAAACGCCTAGCTACCACAGATCCTGTCGAACCGGATCCTGCTATTATGAAATCGAACGTACCATAATCTGAAAAGACAAGGAAAACCATTAATGCAGCTTATTTTTCCTTCAAAATAGTAATATTAATAATAAAAAAATATATACCTAGATAATAATATTAATAAAAATTAATGACATACCCTTGCGCCAAAAGGATCAGTCTAGGGTTAATTTTTAAGTCGAAAAGGGGTTGACTTTTCTAAGATGGACACACATATCCACTACAAGACCAAAACGGAGACAAATCATTTTAAATATAATTCTCAAAATTAAAAATATAATTTTAGGTTCGTTTTTTAATTAGGGTGCGAAACCTTATAAACTCACTTAGTAGTTTTGCAGTTTTCCGGTATCTATGGATGATGCTATTTTTAGTGAAACATACTTTTCGATAGTTACATTTAGTATTGTGTAACTCATAACTCATATCATATCACAAGCCGTATTTATATTGTCGGAACTGTATACCTAATTCATTCCAGTTTACAGAAATAAAAATGTCGTAGAGCAGGCAAAAGTTAGCTTTCCTAAAAATATAATTTTTTTGAAGAGAACAAAATATTTAAATCAAAATGTTTGCATTTTCCACTATCTCAAAAAACCTATGATTATGATGAAGTGCTAAAAATAAAAATGAAAATATACAAGGTGTTTAATAAAATATACATTCATCCTAAAATTAAATTCTAAGGAAAGTAACTTATGGTGCCATTAGACTTATGATATTCTACTTACCTTCAGGAGGATCATCAGATTCTGGCAAGTACGCATGGGCATTAGTTGGTAACTGATAACTTTCGGCTTTCTCTTTCTCATCGATAATAATTTTCTCATAATAATCAACAATTTCCTCTGTAGCGCAAGAGCAGAACATTAAAATGTTGACAAAATATAAGGTTAAAAAAAATGTCAACATTTTATCTTGGTTCTCTGGAACTTAAATAATTTATAAAAAAATATATTTTTCTACACGAAGCTAGTCTAATGAAAATGGGAATAATTATGAATGAGAGTAAAATGTTATTTTATATATGTTCTACAATTAGGTATATCTACAGGGTTAATAAAAAAATACCCACAGCCACATTGGAACTTACTGTCAAAAGGAACAACACTCATTCTTCCCGAACTAATCGAATGTTCCATTTTCTTTTTAATTTCTTGTTTTTTATATCCTTTTTGAGTTTTTTAAGAATTTATTTTATACAACTTCCTTACAAATTTCTCAGCGTCCCACAATTATTATTTATTTAAAACACCCTGTAACTAAAGAAACATAATGGTTATCGTAAACCACTAAAATAATGTTGTTCTAGAAATATGTAAAGAGCGTGACTTTTTACGAATAATATTTTAGATATGAGCACTCATAATTACCTGTTTATATTTATGTGTTCTAAATTTCTAAAACGTGTATATAATCATTTTCTATCGTTTTTTATTTTTTAAGGCAAGCAGAGAAATAAACCGGAAAAATGAAACAGTATATTGAGATATTTTAATTTACTAGCCCTTCTGATGTTTTTATGCATACTCCACTCAAAAATACGATGATTCAGTCTCATAGACTTAATCAGTTACTTGGCTTCTCTAACTTATGTCCTATTCTGCTTAATCAGCTATTCCTTGACATTAAATACCGCAGGGATGGGCGGGTAGACAATGTCGACGTAGACAATGCAATTGTCTACGCGTAGACAATAATCTAGATGAAGACTTAATTTGGAAGAGTCGACAATGTCGACAATGTCAACAATTAAGAAACTCAAAACTAGAAAAAGGTGTAGGTATGTACCTCAAAAAAAGAATTTCGTAAGGCTGTAACTCGTGATTCTTGTAAAAAAAGAAAAATTAAAAATTTGGAATTTGGAAAAGTACCTACCTATCACAACCATCTATAAAAAAATGTATGAACCGAGTACAAAAGATCAAACAATATCTGCCGAGAATTCACGAGAAAAAAAAAGTTTGTCTCGCTTGATGCTCCTCGATAGTTTTAGGTCAGGTCAGATTGACCAACATTTTTTTTTCTATAAAATCTCTAAATAAAGATATGTCGCATATATTCTTTAATGAAAATTTTAGCATTTTTAAAGTCAGCAACAATTTGGAATATCTGATTAAGTTTTAAGAACACTTTGTGTAGATATTTTAGTTTAATTAGAACACGTTAATTTTATTTTTTCTAAAGGTGTTAGAGTTATAGAAATTAACAGAAAAAAATTTTATTAAACATTTCTACTAATTTATAATATAGGTACCCTTTCAAAATAATTTTTGTTTCAGTCCTAGATCATATTATGTAAATATATAAGATCTAAGATTTTAATACAGATCATATAGAGCTGAGCTTTTCAATAAACGATAAGTGGTAACATATTTCTGTAAATATTTGCAGAGGCACAAGATAATGTTTTTTATTGCATTTTCTCAAACTAAATATTATGTGTATTTATTGGAATATGTACTTCTATACATATATGAGTATTATATATATTCCCTAGTTTTCACTTAATGAAGTCACGAATGGAGACTAAAATTTTAAAATTAAATAAACTGTTTTTTACTGACTGTCTTAATTTATATATTTATATAATTTTTTTTATAATAATTTTTGTTTTAAAAAATATAAAAAAATATATATTAAGTATACAAAAATGAAAGTTTTCACTTTCATTTCGATTGAAAGAAAATACCCCATTATAAAAATACATAATTAAATTAAATAAAACTTTATTCTTTAAAATTGTTTAACAAGTGTATAATAACATAATCATCAACATTATTGGTAGTTAAAAAAATAACGAGAAATAAATAATGTATTCAAAACTTAAAAAAAATAGGTTGCAGTCAGAAGATTGGTTGAAGGTTTAATTTATAGAACATTTTGTATTATTTAATTGTCAAGCTTTCAAGTCTTTTAACTTGAGATTAAATTATAAAACTGTGAAATTTTAACCAATTTAAAAATTATTCTAAAATTAACACATAATTGTCAAGAATGTCAAGTCACCATAAATTGTCAAATGTTTGTATAAAAGAATTGATTTACTTAGCAGGACTGAATAATATTAAGCGTTAGCTACCAAGAAAATTTTAATTCAGACACAGTGTATTCTTTAAGCAAAACCTCAACCAACTTTCTGACTTCAATCCTAAATTAACTCGATATTTTTTGGTCAATTTCTATGTATAATTTTTTTTTAATTTCCTTTAATTTTCTATTAAATATCCGCTGCATCACGATCCGCCCTTTCATAAATAAATTTAGAATACTGAAGTTCTTTTATCTTCAATGAGTAGTATACATGAATCAATTTTTTTGAGCGTTCAAATGTCAGTCGATTTCTGATAGCTGTATGGATATTACCCCAGTTCGAAAATGATCCTTCAATTTGTGCAGACGATGCAGGTATCTGCAAAAGTTTGATGGCAAATGAAGATAAAAATGGATGCATCGGTTTTACCATTCTCCAAAATACCAAAGGCTTTTTTATGCCTTTTTGGAGCAAAATGCCCTTTCGGCATTTAAAAGTATCCAAATCTTCAATCCCATCATTGTCCAGATTTTTAAGTAGAAAATGATGAACATTTTTTTTTTTTTGATCTACAGAAAGTTTATTACTGTTATAGTAGGGATGTAAGTAGAATGCTGCTAAAGCGTAAATATTCAATGCCATCTTTCTAAATTTTCATTGAATGTTTTTCGAAATTTAAGGGGTATACGTAAATTTAACCATAATTCAGTAGCATCGGCCACTGAGCAATCAGCTTTCTGACAAACATTTATCAATTCACATATAGGATCGAAAAATTTGACACTTTCTTGTACCTGATCCAAAAAATGATCGTCAAATATTAATTTTGCAACCTCCGTCTTAACTAAACTGAAATTAGAGCGCAAACTCCGCTTTGTCTTCGTTGTCTACATAGTCTACGTTGTTTATATAGTCCTACATGGTGTTCTTAAAATATGATGAAACAGGAGATAGGAATTGACAATTAACAATATGCTTTATGAATATTAATAATATAAATCAGAATAATATTATTCAAGGAAACTATCCCGAAGTGTGGTATATTCGTACCCGGACACCCTGTATATTAAGCTGGTTGATTTTGGGCCTGTCAATGCGTCTTTCTTAAAAACTGTTGTCAGCGATTTCAACAGCAGTACCATTTTTATGTTAAATGAAATTTTATATTATACCTCATATATGTGAGCAGTTCAGTTATGGGAGTATTTATGGTACTATTTTGTAAACATAGCTTAAGATTAGTGGATGTGGCACTCTTAGATGGGCATTAGCGTAGAAGACACGAATTATCACAGTACACCATATAAGTCAATTAAAGTTGTTCTAAGAAAATAATCTGTGTTTTTTTGTTAAAAAGTGTTAAATTCTTACATCAGAAGTGGGATTCGGACTACTAAAAGTACCACGATGAAGGAGTTTGCAAAAATTTTGGTGGAATCCCTAAAAGCAGTGAAAGATCAAGTGTCTAATAGTGTAGTGACAACCGCAGTTGATATTCCAATATTTGATCCCAAAATCGATGATGATGGTGCCCTGGAGTGGTGTGTGGAATTAGAGAAAATTGGAAAACCATTTACTTGTCCTGGCAACGAGCTGTTAGTCAGGGGTGCCAGGAGGGTTACCAGATCTATTTCATTACTGACCCGGAGAAATTGATGCCTAAAAAAAATATCTTAGAAAATCTGGGAATCAAATTGTTTTCGAAGAAATCGATCTCTAAAAAAAAGGACATACTCAGGAAATATCTACCTCTTTGTATAATTATTGACGCCTAAAAATAAAAAAAATGAAAAGAGAAAGAAAAGTCCTGCAATTGCAATCGGACTAATTGATGTCTAAAACGGAAAAAAAAGGACACAATCAGGAAATATATACTTTGGTGACCAGGGGAAATAGATTTCGGGGGTAGGACGTTGTATAATTGATGTCTAAAACAGAAAATGTTGAAAAAATCACGATTTTCCCGCAACAAACAAAACCCGAAGAAATGACATGTTAACCCGGAGCCCGAAGATATACCATCAAAACCCGAAGACTCCGAGTCAAAGCCGGAGATCTGGCAAGCCTAGGTGCCAGTGGTTTCACAGGTGAAGCAAGAGGATGGTTTTCAGCGTGGAAACCGAACGAAAAAACCTGGAAGAATTTCAAGGCAGACCTTTCCAGCATGTATCCAGCTAAGAGAAATCTGAGTGAAAAATTCCGCAAAGCCAGCCTATACACTAGCGATAAAGCTGACTCATACTATGAGTATGCCAGAAAAAAATACTTCATATCAAATCTTTAAATTTTTCATTGTCCAATAATCAATTATTGGAACTAGTTATTGGAGACATTACTGATCTTCAGGTGAAAATCGCAGCATTTAATGGTAAGTTAGAATCAGTCACTGATTTGTTAACCATTAACCCTATTAGGAAATTATAAAGTGTTCGCACGGGAAAATACTTTCGAAAGAAATAGGAATAAAAGAACTTATCCGTTCGAGTTTGAGAATAACTTAAAGCTGTTATGTAAGCAGACAGGGCATCTGAGCCGTCATTGTAAAAAAAAACATATTTTCTCTCCATTCTGTTGACAACAAATATTCAGGTCCCACCTTCAAGAAAATTCAGTGAACTTTTTGTAATAAATTTGAACACAGAACTGATGATTGTTTTCAAAGAAAAAGCAAGAACCCTCAAGCTCAAGTTAATTATTTTTGTGTCAGTTTAGACTGTCACTTTTGGACATTATTTAAAATCCAAAATAAATTAGTACGATATTTAATAGATACGGGTGTAGAATGTAGTTTGCTCTCAAATAAAATTGCCAAACGATTAAATTGTCATATTGAACTGGCCTTTATTACTTTAAAAAATATATTGGAGCTAACGTAACCTTTTCAAACTATTTTAGGCAGAGACTTATTTGAGCAATAAGTATTAGAAATTCATACGGATCAAAGCGGGACACGTGTCTACTTAAACGAAAATATTATTCGCCCTAAGTTGATTAATAATGTAAACATTTCTCAGGATGTTATAAACAGCCCTTGTCAGGGAAGTGGCAAGTAGCAAGTGGCAAGGTATGTGGGAACAGTTTTAAAGCTTTTACGGATTGATATCAATGATAAAGCAGAATGGCCGAACGTTATTATTGTAAAATTACAAACTACACTAAATACCACCGTCCATAAGTCGACTGAGTTTTCGCCTGTATATCTTTTAACGGGAGTTAATGGTAGTATTTCAGATACATAAGCAACCACTGATTCGCTACCAACCCTTGAGTTTCTCAAAATTTCGAAAGAGACTGGAATTTGGCAAACGAACGTATGAGAAAACAAGCTGCATACGTTAAAAGTTTTCTCTCGACAAAGTTAGAAAATAAATTATAAATATTGAGGATTTCGTATTTCACTCTTCGGGAAACAGCCATTTGGCAAAACTGTATGAAAAGTATATGAAATTAACAACCTGGCTACAAACATGAACCGCATATGGCCTGGCGAATTTTCTGAGGATTCCTAACATCGAAAAAAGGTAAATAATAAAATAAAATAAGTATGTCAGAATGAGCCTTGTGAGCAGTTGCGATTGTTGCGAATTTATAGTTTGTTCTGTCGAGTGTTGAAAGCACAACGTCTTGCACTGGTGTTGAGAGGAACTTGTGAGGTGTGAAATGTTTACTTCATCTGATTGTTAACTGTTGGAAGCAAAACGTTTCGCAGTAAAATAAATTATTAGATTGACTGTTGGAAGCAATACGCTTCGCAGTAAAGTAAATTATTAAGTTGACTGTTGGAAGCAGAACGGTTCGCAGTACAGCAAATTATTAGGTTTACTCATAGAAAATATAGTGTTAATATTAAGTTTTCTATGGGTTTACTTATATGACTAAATAAATAAGACCCGTGAAAAGGATAGTAAGAACAGAATTATGAAGGTACGAGCGCCACCTCACAGTCGTTCTATGAAACACTGCCCATCGTAAGCAATATTTATGTATCGAAAACTGTAATACTAACTTGAACAGAAAAGTAATGTTGCTATTAGAACCTATAGAGTTCGTTGGAAAAATTAAAAATTTGATTATATTGCATGTATTCTTTCGTGCGGAACCAGGGTGTCCCGAAATTAATGCAACAAAATTTGGTCATAGATTCTTAAGACAAATTTAGGAGACCCATATTTTTTCTTTTTGCCAACTGGACCCCTCTTTCGGAGTTACAGCCCCCCGAAATCTGCCCCTAAAAGAAGTATTTTTTATATCTCAAAACCATGTTGTATACGAGAATCACTAAATTTGGTACACAGAGGGGTTTTATGACATGTGGAATCTCACAGTGCTACGCTTTTTGATGAGAAACCCCCTTAAGACACTTTTCGTGGGCCCCCTTGTCTTTGGAACCAGAAAATTTTGGTCTTAAATTTGATTTTTTTTTAAGTATTAGTTAGCTAGAAAGCCATTGAATTTAGACACTTTTTTATCTCTTGATGTTTGTTTCGTAAAACGCAATGTTTTTGAGGGAAATGGCAAATCACGATATGCATTCGATCACATTTTGACATTTTTCTCGAAAACATTACGTTTTACGAAAAAAGTATAAAGTGATAAAAAGTTTCCAACTTTAATGGCTTTCTAGTGGACTGCTAATTTTTAAGAAATTTAAATATGCGACCAAATTTTTTTTGGCTCCAAAGACAAGGGGGCCTACGAAAAATTGTCTTAAGGGGATTCCTCGCCAAAAAACGTAGCACCATCAGATTCCACATGTCATAAAACTCCTGTGTACCAAATTTAGTGAATCTCATACAACAGGGTTCCGAGATATAAAAAAAAGATTATTCTTAGCGGCGACTTCAGGGGGCTGTAACTCCGAAAGAGGGGGCCACTTGGCAAAAATAAAAAATACGGGTCCCCTAAATTTGTCTTAAGAATCTGTGACCAAAGTTTGTTGCAAGAATTTCGGGACACCCTGTATAAATCAATTACAGTTGTTCTAAGAAAAGAATATGTGTTTTTTTTTGTTAAAAGGTGTTAAATTCTTAGATATGTAATGAATGTATGAATTCTTACATATGTATACATCATGGGTCAAAAAATTTGGCTTACAAATGTCACTGACTGAGTAAGATAGTATCTAGCGACAGTAGCGACCTCTAGCAGATGATCGGGACATATAGATTGCAATGCATTAATATTATTTATTTATATTATAAGATATCAATTTTATTAATTATGCAACAAATTAGTTTCGTAATGTTTTTTCGCTCTCTGACTGTATTACCTGATAAACTTCTAAAGCATTATAATTTTAGGTTATTTCAAATAGTTTATCAAATTTCTCAAAAGCGATATTATATACTGTTAAATAAAACTGTTATTAAACTATCCATAAAACTAAAAACTTAAAATTGTTTCAAGAGAACATCTCAACAAATAAACATTTTCTGCTGTGAAAACAGTTTAGTTTTTTAGTTAGGCAGTGCGAGTCTACCATCTATTGGACAAGAGATATACATTAACATAAAAAATAAATAACTTTGCAGAACACATATTTAAACATGTATTATTATGTTCTGTGCATGACACGTTACTACATGGCAGTCATAGATAAATATATTTATCATTTTCTATGATGGCAGTTGACACGTTTGATCAAAGACGTTTGACATTTTTTACAAATGTCTTATACAGGGTGTCCCAAAATTCATGCAACAAGATTTGGTCACAGATTCTTAAGACAAATTTAGGGGACCCGTATTTTTTATTTTTGCCAAGTGGCCCCCACTTTCGGAGATACAGCCCCCTGAAGTCCACCCCTAAGAATATTTTTTTTTTATGTCAGAACCCTGTTGTACGAGAATCACTAAATTTGGTACACAGAGGGGTTTTATGACATATGGAATCTGATGGTGCTACGTTTTTTGGCGGGGAACCCCCTTAACACAATTTTTCGTGGGCCCCCATGTTTTTGGAGCCAAAAAAAATTTGGTAGCATATTAAAATTTCTTAAAAATTATCAGTCCACTAGAAAGCCATTAAAATTAGAAACATTTTGTCTCTTTATACTTTTTTTCGTAAAACGCAACCTTTTCGAGAAAAACATCAAAATGTGATCGAATGCATATTTTTTTTATTTTTTATGATACGCCATTTTCCTCAAAAACATTGCATTTTACGAAACAAATATCAAGAGACAAAACAGTTTCTAAATTCAATGGCTTTCTAGCACAATAATTAAAAAAAAAATCAAATTTGCGACCAAATTTTTCTGGTTCCAAAGACAAGGGGGCCCACGAAAAAGTGTCTTAAGGGGATTTCTCGCCAAAAAGTATAGCACTGTGAGATTCCACATGTCATAAAACCCCTGTGTACCAAATTTAGTGATTCTCGTACAACATATATGGTTTTGAGATATAAAAAAGACTTCTTAGGGGTAGACTTCAGGGGGCTGTAACTCCGAAAGAGGGGGCCAGTTGGCAAAAAGAAAAAATACTGGTCCCCTAAATTTGTCTTAAGAATATATGACCAAATGTTGTTGCATGAATTTCAGGACACCCTGTACTACGATCTACATCCTTCCAAAATTCCATGCAGATTGACAGTTTTGGCTTGTGTTTTTATTCAACAATAGAGATATTTTCTATGATGGCAGTTGACACGTTTGACCACAGACCACAGACATTAGACATTTTTAACAAATGTCTTATTCCTAGAGATGGGCTAAACTGCTCTTTTTGCGGAACAGTGACACCTGCTACTGCTCCGGCAACAGAGCAGTGACAAATAGCTGCGATTTTTCGGAACAGCTCCTGGTAGCGCGCGCATACATTCTTACCGTGATCCCTTATTTCCGCGTCAGAGTTCATAAATCGACACCTGTCGTGCTTAATAGCGGCTAGCGTTAGGGATACTTTCGTTATGCGCTGTTTTTCAAGCATGTGCCAACTTTCGTAGATTTAGCTCAATTTGTTATTTCGCTTTTGAATTATTTATTTGAATTTGATATAGCGTAGTGATCTGTTATTTTGTCCCAAGTTACTACTAATAAATTTTTATTACAAATAAAATTGGATATGGATAAACGAAGAAAATCTTTCCTGTGGAATTTATTTTTACCAACGCATGAAAGTAAAACTTGTTGTAATATATGCAAGCGAAATATTTGTTATAAATCTTCAATCACCAATCACGACATCCTACAGTGAGGACAGTGCCAGATATTCAAAATTTTTCCGCGAGTGCAACAAAAACAAATGAAGAACAGTCGCATGTTTTTTGCTTAGTCTAAGTGATTTTGTAAACAAAAACTTTTAAAATATTTGTAGAGCAGCAACCAGCAATACACGCATTGCTCTAGTCGCTGAAATACAATGTCTTTAAATCAAACGCGACTGTATTATGTTTAGTGTGTGACACTGTGACAGGACTGTGACTAATTCAAGCGCAGATCGCAACGGCTTAGTGAGAATCTGCTCTGCTTTGGCCGGCACGCTGAGCTATGTCTCTGACGCTAGTAAATTGCACTTTAAACGCTCCGAAAAATCACTGCTTCTTTTGTCGCAGCGGAACAGTCAGCTCCAGTGACAACTGCGGAACAGTGCCAAAGTAGCAGACAGTGAAAGAGCAACACATCTCTACATTCCATAGATTAAATACAAATCTTATTCTACGATCTACGTCCTTCCAAAATTCCATGTAGATTGATAATTTTGGCATTAATCTATGGTTTTGGCTTGGCAATCTTGGCATGTTTTTATTCAACCATAGAGAAAATAATTATATTTATTTTATCTCTGTATTTAACCTACGAAAGTAACTCATGCCATAAAAAGTTTACTCATGCTTCGTTTTCGTTTCGTGAAGCACAAATAGAAGAATTTTAGTACCTTTATGTTTGTGTACCTATATTTAAAGGATAAAAAATTGTCTAAATAAAGTGAAATTTTGTTAACATTGTACTCAAAATTTTGCGAGTAGAATATATATTAACTAATAAAATCGAAATCCTAGATAAAATAAGTTGCTAAGCTAGATGGTGTACGTCTTGAGTGATTTTTATCAATAAACATTTATCCATTTGTGTAGGTCATTCAACTAAGATAAAAAAGTTGACAACAATTCACAAACAGGTCTGTTGGGTTCTGCATTGCAATCAGTTAGGGTTCAGTGAGCCTGAGCTCTCTTTTTAGTTTGATATAGGTATTCAGTGTCTAGAGTTTTGCTGAAGAATAAAAATGAGGCTGATTATTTTGGATACTGCTAATGCTGTATCAGAATGGGCAGCCAAGTATGTAGCAAGAAGAATTAATGATTTTAATCCTGGTCCAGACAAATATTTTGTATTGGGGCTGCCAACAGGTGAGTTTTTTATGTACATTTCAAGTTTACAGTTTTAAGGTGAAGTATTTGTTTTATCTTCTGAAAGTTGTAATAGGTATTTTTACAATTTATGAAAATATACATGATCTCTCAATATTTAATAAAAAAAACCTGTTCTAGCCATGAACCATGAGAAGTTTATTGACTCCTTCGCTTTGAATTATTACCTAATATAACTTTTTTTATAATATCTACCAATTTTCGTCTTATACCTAGGTATTTTTTCCTTAACATAAAACAGAATTTTATATTATTAAGTAGGAAGTAGGTCTGTACTTTCAACTTCAGGCTGCGTTATACATTTTAGTAAATTATTGTCAGTAGTTCCCTTCTAGCATTTATTTTATTCCATATATTTAAAATATTGAATATGAAAAATTAAAACATAATCAGAGTAACAGGATATTTCTATATTGAACACAATTATTGATATTGAATATAGGAATATTATAATAAAAACATATCGCCTCTTCAAACAGTACGTTATATTTCCATTTTAGGCAGTACACCATACCAGATGTACCAGAAGTTAATAGAATACTACAAAGCAGGTAAAGTCTCCTTTAAGTATGTAAAAACGTTCAATATGGATGAATATGTTAATTTACCAAGGGACCACCCTGAGAGCTATCACTGGTACATGTGGAATAACTTCTTTAAACACATAGACATAGACCCGAAGAATGCTCACATCTTAGATGGAAACGCTAATGATTTAGTAGCAGAATGCAATAATTACGAGAAGGAGATAGAAAAAGCTGGGGGTATAGAATTATTTATAGGAGGTAAATATAAAATTACTTATAAAAAATAATGTACCTATAACAAAAAAATACTATGAATTTAGTAACAGAATGCAATAATTATGAGAAAGAGAATGAGAAAGCCGAGTGTATGGAATTATTTATAGGAGATATAATATTAGAATAGAATAGAAAACGATAATTTAAAAACAAAAAATTTGTAATGGTTAAATAAAGCTGTGACATAAGATTAAGACTAACCTTAAGCTCAGATGATTTTAGATGGATTAAAGGCTTAGATGGTAAATATTTAGAATTATCAGTAAAAATCGTATATCGTTGTATGATTATACAGGCCGTTACATTTAATGTTCGACCTAATAGTATGTGATAGTACTGTTGAAAATAGTTTTTAATTTTCATATGATTTTCCCAAAAATGTGCATTCTCTTGGATCTGATTCATCCTGTATACTATAAATTTTCATTGTTGCATTTGCAAATGATTTTAAAATAAAAAATTACCAACTTCAGGTTAAATTTTCTGTCTATCTCTCCCTAGGAATTGGTCCTGATGGGCACATAGCATTCAACGAACCTGGTTCTTCCTTGGTTTCACGTACGAGAGTTAAGACTCTCGCCCAAGACACCTTGGAGGCTAACGCCAGGTTTTTCGGAAATGATATTGACAAAGTACCTAAACAGGCTCTAACTGTCGGTGTTGGTACTGTCATGGACGCTAAAGAGGTGAGTTTAAAGAAAATAATACATTTTTTTCACATCGGTGACTCACGGTATTCATTGTTTAACTATCCTGTTATTAAATGTTTATCAGTGATAAGAAATATTTTTTATTCAACATTGTAAACTATAAAAATTCAAAACCTCAAAGTAAATAAACCGTATTTATCTCTCGGTGTTTATTAACATTGTGATAATAATAAGTTTACTAAGTAACAGTGCATTTCTGATTTTATCTGTTCTATTTTACTGTATGTATAGATTTTTAATTTCGATACTTTTTATAAGCATGTCTTTGATAATACGAAAGTTATCTAGAATTATCCCTATCGACTTTTTAAATTAACATGCAATATACTCTCCATAATACAATAAAATATTTTCTAGAAAAAAAAAAATTGTATTCTAAATTGAAATAATAGAATGTATTAAATTTACTACTCTACAACACTTATTTTACTTAAAAATTTGCATGTGGAAGTATAAAATATCATGTCTATCTTCAAAAAGTTTAAATCATTTTATACCCAAAAATCTTAAAAGTCTAAAACCATTTCAAGATATGGGGTGTTGAAATTTAAAAGAATATCTCTTTTATTTAAAAGTTGATATTAAGATAAATACAATGTATTAGGGCAGCGTTGCCAGACGTCCCGATTTTGGCGGGACGTTTCACTTTTTAAGCCAAAATTAAATGTCCCGCGCGGGACAGGCCAAGTCCCGCTTTTCCCACTCTGGTTTTTTTTCTTTAGGCATCAATTATTTTCTCCTTTTTTTTTTAAACCGATTTATTTTGAGAACAATTTGTATCCTGAGATATCCTGAGACCTTTTTTTTTCTATTTTGAATTATTGTTCTTAATTCCAAATAACTCGCTGGTATTAAAATTCTATTATATATTTATCAACCAATTCAGTAAATTTACGCCTTTGATCAATATCATTAGCACAAGTTTCATCAATCTATGTTAAACATCTTCAGAGATGTTTGAGTCAATGTCATATTATTTTGAACTATTGCTTATGTTTCAAAACCAGTAGCTTTAAGTCCTTGGTTGTTCATCAACACATTAGTCTAAAATGACTGAAATGAATACATGCAATTAAGAACACGCTGCTGGTATGAATCACTTGCTACCTTTCAGGTTATGATTTTAATAACTGGCACCCACAAATCCTTCGCTTTGTACAAAGCCATCGAGGAGGGGGTGAACCACATGTGGACTGTGTCCGCTTTCCAACAGCATCCACATACATTGATGATATGCGATGAAGACGCCACGTTGGAACTTCGTGTTAAGACTGTGAAATACTTCAAGGTTAGTTTAAACGCGTCACATATTTTAACGCTTTTAATGACGCTTTTTGTTTGTTTTGAACTTCAGTTACTTGATATTTTTTGTGGAAGTTTGTACAGTATTTGCTTATTTTAGAAGTGTATTTTGTGTAAATTATTTAGGTCGCTTACAAACCTTGATATGACAGGAGGTAGTTGGTAAGTAAAAATAGAATGCGGTAATTTTTTGAAATTGTGTATATTTACTACATTCGGGGTTGTTTTTAAAATTTTTGCGTAATGACATCACATCTATTTTAATTTTTTTACTTATATTACATGAAGTCAAAATGAAAAAGAAACAAATGAAAAATATCCCATTATGATCTTAAGGAGGTAAAATTTAAAATAAAAAGTTCCAAAGGTACAGTACAGTAATTCGCATATACATCATGGGTATTATCAAAAATGGTGAAAGATACGGGGTAGCCCAACTTAGAAAAAGGTATTATTAGGGAATCGTTGAAATAAGATATTTCTTAGAAATATTATATTATTTAACTGGGAGTTTTTAAAACCGTTTTCAAGTAAGGCCCTTTAATTGTAGAAAAAAAAAATTGGTGGAATTAAACTTTCTAAGGCAAAGAAAAGTTAAAAGTTAAAATAAATATTACTATTAAGACAAATAGCTGCTAGTGCTGCTAGTACTAACTTTAATATTTTTTTTGATTCAGTGCATCATACCAAAATATTTTTTACAAAATTTATGATGACTGAAATATACAGGGTGTTTCATAAAGACCTCCCGTAAATAAGAATTTTTTGTCATAAGAACTATGTGTCTATCTCCTCTTGTTTTCGAGATATAGAGCATTAAAATGAAATTTTTTAAATAGAATTTTTACGAAAATTTCCAGTGTGAAATATTTTTATGAAATTTGGGATTCCTGGGTTTTTAAGGACGCCAAATACGCTGGTCTAATTATTTTTTTGATATTTCATAGAGGGCGCTAGTAATGCTACATTCCTATTATATTTTAAGTTATAATTTTTTTAAGGTTAGGTTTTTTACCATCGGGCTCCAATTTCTAATATACAATTTTATTTTTTAAAAATAATCTACTCTTGTTAGAACTTCCTAATGTGGACGGTTTCGTATGTGTATTAAATGAATGAATTTAATCGATGTCTCATAAACAATGCATATATTCTTAGTAATATTTTAAACTTTAATTAACTTTGTATCAAAATTTTAGTGACTGTCACTACTAACTAGTCACTAAAAATCACTAAAATTTTGATATAAAGTTAATTAGAATTTAAAATATTACTAAGAATATATGCGTTGTTTATGAGAAACCCATCAATAAGTTTTGACATAAGCCTACTTTGAGAAATGTCACTTATTTTATACACCGTAAATATTGTAAGAGTTCAATTAAAAGCTTCTTTTCTCGAAAACTGTCCACATTAGAAAGTTCCAACAAGAGTACATTATTTTTAGAAAATAAAATTGTACATTAGAAATTGGAGCCCAAATGGTAAAAAACCTAACCCAAAAAAAATTAGAACTTAAAGTTTAATAGGAATATAGTATAACTAGCGTCCTCTATGAAATATCCAAAAAATAATTAGACCAGCGTATTTGGCGTCCTTAAAAACCCCGGAATAACAAATTTCATAAAAATATTTCGCACCGTTTGGAAATTTTCGTAAAAACTCTATTTAAAAAATTTTTATTTTATCGCTCAGTATCTCGAAAACAAGAGGAGACACATATAGTTCATATGACAAAAAATTCTTATTTTTTTGTTGTACTAACACCCCCTGTATTTATGGGAGGTCTTTCTAAAACACCCAGTATACACATCAGTGGATGCAGTGTTAAATATAATTTCATGATAATAGTAAAGTAAAAATGAAACGCTGGATGATGAAACTGATGCTCTAATAACAGCTTCAAATAAAATATGTTGCCGAAAAATTTGGTTTTATCAAATTTCTTGGAAACAAAATCTGTTTACACCATTTCAAAGATTCCTTAATCCCTTAACTTTTCTCTAATTTGGCCAACTTGTATATTTCAATATCTCCATTATGGACATCATAGGTGAAGAAATTAAGAACAAATTGTATTTTATCCTAACTGCTTTAAAGTTAAATATTAATTCTTGATATTTTTTTAATCTTAGCAGCTGAGAACTTGATTCAAATATATTCTGTTACTATTACAGTTATAAATAATAAAAAATTATATCTATTAACAAATTCATTGTATGTTTAAATAAGTATAATGGGAATGTTTTTTGGAAACTAATTTAACAAATCTAGGCTCTTTATTCAAAACAGCACAATTATTATTTCAATTCAGTTGATCAACTTTTATGGACCAACAGAAAATTTACCCATTTAAATTTTATCATTGAAATCGTAAAAATCGGATCGTAACTTCCCACAATTTGAGAACCACTAGTTTCGAAAAATTATTTAAAAATTGACAATACAAGTTTTTCACTCAGATATTAAAGTAAAAGCTGTACATCTCTTATAGATCGAAAATTAATGCTTTACATAAATCCTTTTTAAAGTTCTCAGTTGTTCAAGGTGTAAAAAATCGTTCAGCAAGATCCCTGATGTGGTTTGTATTAATTATTTGTGGCATTACTAACAAAATAGTGTTTTGGATCTCGTGACAATTCCAAGTGGTTGCACTTCGATGCTATGAGAGGCGGTGGTGGTGCTTGATACACATTTTTATGTGTTGTGATAACACACTTATTTTTAAAACAGGCTCTAAGCGATGTCCACCAGAAACTTATCAAGGAAGACGAGCCATTAGAGAAATACAGGACCATTCACTGAACGGTATTTAGATTTTATATTTGATTTTCTAAATTGCTTGCTGTAAAAAAAAATATAAAAATATAAAAATACCAGCATATTTTTACTCTGTTGCCAATTAAAAAATTGCTGTTATGCTACATCAAATTTAGAAAGTTGCCTCTTGAAATGCAATTTTTGTGTAGATGTATTTTTTTTGTTAGATACACTCTATTCATTTATTAATTTATACTTTTTTGTTTATAAAATGTAGATGCTTCCCCTTGGAAAAAAAAATAAAAATAAAAATTGTATCAGACCTATGTATTTTAATTATATTGGAGTCTTATATTTTTCTAATGAATTGTTTCAGAATTTGTCTGACTTACACAACCAACTGGTAGAAGACTAACGACGAGTATCATTTATCCAGTAGGCAATTTTTTTCTTTGTAATGAATTAAAAAAACATTTATATGAAATTATTTTTACATTTATTATGTATTAACTAATTATATTACTATTTTTTTATTAATTAAATACACTTGTCAAGATGTGTTTGAATTATTTAAACTTTAGTCGTTTTTAGGCATTTATATACGGGCCACTACATCTAAAGAAATTTTATAATATCTTATGCATTTCAAATTAATAAGTGTATTGAACATTTTTCTGATTTACGTTGCCGTGAAAGAATAATAAAATGTTTGTGAAACGTTATTGGCCTGGAGTTCCTACCAGTGGAAAATATACAGGTGTCCGGAAAACTAAACCAACCAACGAAGACACAAATTCTAGAGATGATTTCATATCGATTTGACACAAATTGCCGTCTTATTCAAATATGCTGTTTATCTAGGATTAAACTTAGATTATATATTAACTCTTATACGGACAGCTTTTTGATGTAAAAATTATCTTTTAATGGCTAATTTGCTAATATTTAGTAGTTGGCTCTTATTTCCAAAATTTTCACCTGCTTCAAAAATTCACCGGTCGAACCGCCCGGGTTTCCGTCTTTGTCTATGCGCCCAGGTAAGAATATTGCCAAGAGCCCTCCTTCCCTCGGACTACGATGACAACGTATGCCGATCTCTGCCTCGAGGCTGCAGACGAGAGCCAGGAGCATCCAAATTTTTCGACCCACTTTCCAAAAAGTGGTGAAAATAACCAAGGGATTTCAAATTCGCAAAACAAATTAATTTCAGACCTTCAACCCCTACCCGGTTTGGACCATAGAAAATATAGTATTAACGTTTTCTATGGGTATAGACCATAGACCATAGGTGGTCTGTGGTTTGGACAGAAGTGACAGAACCGGTGCATTTCAAGTATCGTGCCGTGGGGTCACGCGGCAAAAAGCCACTTAAAGTCATTAGGGAGATTTTACGCCACCTAAAATATATGGAACGTTATGTGTTAAACGTAATACTGATCATGCGCAGTTAATGAAAAATAAGAGCCCAAATATTTCGTTAATTCAGTTTTTATACCAGGATTTACCTTGACAATTCCGTTAACCGTAAACGTAACATATAACCTTTATTATTAATATTACTCTAGGCATAAAACCTCACTTTTATGTTATCGATACACGCTACCTCTTTAATTACATCAAGTATTTGATTACATGTACTGCTCTGGAAAATAATATTGAAATAGTAATTAGACGAAAAATTTGGCGTTGCCAAGTTATATACTTTATTGAGATAATTTTGTCGGATATCTTATATATAAAACGTAATATACCACCTTCAGTCGCAAACAGAAAGCGTGTATGATGTATGTATAAAATATATTAATTAATAATTAACAAAATTAATAAGCATATCTTCCCTGTAAATAAGATAACTGTTACATTTGGCAATGGCGTGTATACCGGTACGCTTATTAGCGTAACGTTATTCCAACTTAAATTACGGTCAACGTTATCGGTTATTAAAGTTATCGGTTATTTTCGAACTACTGCGCATGATCAGTATAACGGATAACGTTTAACGTTGTTCAAATAAGTGGCTTTAAATCTCCCTATTACAGGCTGTAGAAAACATAGCCCTCCGCACGGCCACCGACGCGCCCTGGTACGTAAGAAACACTGACATATTACGAGACTTACAATACACAAACGCTACACAGACAATAAGACAAAACGCGGAGAAACGATTTGACGTAGCCGCTAGACATGACAATCCCCTCCTCAGGCAAGCCGTTGACTACGTACCCGACGTGACCGACAAACACAAAAGACCTAGACACCACCTTTTTGACCCTGGGTGACCACCCCAATGACTCCCCCCCTGCCCGCTAACCTTTTCTGTTTCAGAGACAGCCAGGATCAAGAAATGAAGACAACGACACACACACACACATACACACACCCCATACCCTCCTTACCCCTCCCCTCCCGCTCTAGCCTAAGGGCCACCTTAGCAAAGCGCATCCCAGGCTGCATAGCCGCACTACCCTACCCAACCATACCACACATAAACATGACACTACCCCCGGGGTTTACACAGACGAGCCGGCGAAGCAAGAAGAGCGCCAGAAGAAAGGGCCCTAGCCGGCGGGGCCCAGCCAGGACAAAAGGAGGTCCCACAAAGCGCCTACACCGGCCGCATTTGCGGTCGGGGTAGACGACGGATGGGGCCCACCTACGAAGGCTGTCCAGGCCTACACGAGATGAGGCAGGATAAAGAGGGATAATCCCCCTCGATCCCAAATCATTGAGGCCAATTTCTAGCCATAGAATAATGGCGCGTGGCGCGCGCGCGCGGCGCGTGTCACGTATTAAGTTTTTTATGTCATCGGGGAGGGTGCCCCGGGGGTTTGTCAGTCGGGGGACAATAGTCTCCGTCGTAGTCTGAGTCAGGGCGTTTTTAATGTCAGTCTCAAGGGAGAGGATTGCTGCCTCCAGATCATGGGTGGCGCGAAGTATCGTGCATCTCTAATATCGATCTACATAGATCAGATCAGATTCTGATTTCAGATCATATTTTCCTGAAATCCTTCACATTAAGCTGGAAGTACATGGCATGGACAAACGTAATTGGTCAAATTAAAAATGTTTTTAAAGTTTTACCAATCAGGTTTATCAAAGAATAGTAGTCGCCGAAAAGAAGCTGCCGTGTAATTTTGGCTTAAAGAAAAGTTCACACAACATCATATTTTGACAGACTGGTTTTTCTAAACAAATAAACATGTAAAATGATGTCATTAGTGTCATTAGTATTTCTCTGAATAAATGAACAAAATTAAACTTTAAATTTAAGTATTTACTGCAGGGTGACGCAAATTTTTAGATTGTAATAATTTATGACTTGGGATAATATAAATTTATCAGCAATTGAAAATTTCAAGTAAAGGTATCAAAATGTTTGGTGTAAGTACTGTTTTTTTGTATATAAAGTCGTTTAATTATATCCCTTAATATTTTAGAATCCTGGGTATGGTGGTGGAAGTTATCCAGGATTTGGTGCACCAACACAAACTCCAATAGGTCCAGAAGTTCAGCAATGGTTCCAAGCTGTCGATAGAGACCATTCTGGACAGATAAACTGGGAAGAATTACAGTCAGCCTTGGTTAATGGCCAGGGTGAAAACTTTTCCTCGCAAGCTTGCAAACTAATGATAGGAATGTTTGACGTCGATAAATCAGGGACCATCGGAATTAATGAGTTCCAGTTACTGTATAATTATATAAATCAGTGGTTAACAGTTTTTAAGAATTATGATAGCAATCGGTCCGGAAGTATCGAAGAACAAGAGTTGAATTTAGCATTTCAGCAAATGGGATTCCGGTTTTCATCAGATTTCATCAAGTTTCTAATAAGCAGAAGTGATTTGAAGAATCATCAACTGATATCTGTGGATCAATTTATTGTTCTGTGTGTTCAAATACAGAGGTTAACGGAAGCATTTCGAGTGAGAGATAAGGAAATGAAAGGTGTGATAAATATAGCTTTTGAAGATTTCCTTACTGTAGCTATAAATTGTACCACAGGTTAAGAGTTTAGATAAATAAGTTAAAAATGGCTTTTCTTACTTATACTATTTTTGTTCCAATATCTTTTATGCCGATGCCAAATACGTTGTTTTGTTAAATGCCACTTATTTTATATACTTTCATGTTTTCATATATATGTTGGTTTTTGAGCTATACTTGCTATTATTAAGAATTATGGTGATTTAGTAAGTTAGAATATAAAAATAAAATATCTCACAAGTGCAATTTTCTAGTGTTTTAATAAATTATATTTGTCCACATAAAATTGGCTATTTTATTCATTAGAAATAAAGCTTAAATTTGGTATCAGATAAATTTATATTTTATACAAATATTCTTGATGTCTTAGATGTTCATTGTATCAGAATTGATATACATTATTATTTATGCATGCCTATGTTCACTGTTTGACATTCAGAGAGTGAATAATCTCCGGTGCTAATCTGGTAACGTTGCCACTGTGTATCTGAAACTCGCCGACAAGTTGAATTTGGTCAAGCTGTACACACTTTATAATAGAACACCCCAAAATAAGAAATATTAGCATAGGCCCTAGAATTTGATTTCAACGTTCAAAATATTGAAATAAAAAAAGATCAGATTTATTTAAATATCACTTAAAATGTTTGACACCCACATTGATAAAATTTGCGGTTACGTTATGAATATGATGAGTAGTTTAATACATAAATACATCAGCCAGTGACAGAGAAACTGGAAGGTACTGTTGGCAAGAATCCAAGAATTTTGATTCTACTGAATATTTAGAAAATTGGATAAATGCATTCAATTTTGGTTCATTTTCTAAGAAAAAAGATATCTTTCATTTTATTTATAAGTTCGTCTGTGTTTTGAGTAATTTTTAAATTTAAAAAAAGCTTTATTTAACGTAAGTTAATCAAAAATTACACCTAAATTAATTATTTTAAGAATTGATTTACAAGAATTGTTTAATTTAAATTAAATTCTAAATATAACACTGAAAATTACAAAAACTTTAAATCTTCTGAGGGATATTTACCCACTAAAAATATTTAAAATTATATTTCTAAGAAAAATTGAATAGCAAAAGTATGTTCTTATATCTCTATATCACCCATTGTGAGTTAAATCATTTTATGTTAAACATTTAATAGATACTGTAAGCAAATGTGTGATATTTTTTAAATTTCATCACTATAACTCGAACACGAAGCGTTCTAGAACTTATGTTTATATGAAGATTTTATATTTTGAGGTGTTCTATCATCAAGTAAAGTTTCTCGTGTGCAATCAGGCATACCTACCCTGTATAATGTTAATATTTTTGAGAAATAGATAATATTCATATTGCGTTTTCTACTATGTAAAAAAAAACTTTTTCCATATTTGACCAACAACTTTAACATGACGTTTAAATTTTTGTAAAAAATGTAACTAACAATTCAAAAAGTTGCAAAAGTATATGCCCATTTGCCAAGGATATTTATAATACATGTATTATAAATAAAGGGCGGAATATATGCACGTCAATTCAGTTAAAATATGCGCATATATATGCATCGTTTTTCTCTGAAATATGCAACGATATGCATTTATTTGTCAAAATATGCAATTATATGCCTTGAATATAACATGGAAAAATGGAAATAAAGAAACGCCGACTCTTACAAAAATTATTTATTTTAAGTAAAATTAAAAGAAAAACATAATAGGTAAAATTTTCAACCTGAAATAGTATAAAATGCATTTATAACGATATATTTTTCAAAATTTTCCAATAAAAATGTTTGCCTTCTGTCTGTAAAAATATGTTTGTACAAAGAAAAAGTTCTTTCAACATCTACCGATGTGATCTGGCAATATTTTAATTTGGGTAGTAAGTTATAAGGCCAAGGTATTACTTCGTTGGATGGTTTACTATCAAAAATATTTTTGACTTCCATTAAATACTTAAAGCCTTCATTCTTTCCCACAATAACTTCGAGTTTCCTTCTTACTTGATTTCCTACATCACCGGGAACTTTTTTGCATTTGTCGGAAAAAGTTTCAACAATATTAATTGATTCTCTTAAACTTATATTCCTACTTTCTAACGAAGTTATTATATCTGGTACAAAACTAAAATTAACCTTAATAAAAACAAGTTCCTTAGCTAAATTTACATTTTTGAATAATGCTTGACTTTGCACTACACACTGCGAAATGTCTTCTAAATTTAAAACTATGTCTTTAATGGCTTCAAAATGGTCTGCATAGAATATCGCGGCCATAATCCATGTTCCCCATCGAGTAATTACGGGCTCTGGAGGTAAACTAACTCCTGGCAATTTCTCTCTATAGATCTGCACTGTTAGAGGTGCTTTCAAAAACACTTTCTTTACATTTGAAATTAATTTGTTCACCAAGGGATATGCTGTTCTAATAGTTTCTGCAACTCTGTTTATCCCGTGTAAAAGACAAGTGACATGTACCATATTGGGATAAAAAAGTTTTGGCCTACTTTAATCATATACAGCGCTGCGTCAGACAAAAACACTAAAAACTTCTCTACTGGAACTGGATTTGGTAAAAAAAAAATTGATAGAGACTGCTGAATAAATCGAGTTACGGTCACATTATTTGTTTTGTCTAACTGTTTAGAAGATATTAAATATGGTTTCCCTGGCTCATTTTCTTGAAGCCCTCCAATCATAAGATGTGCAATATATCGACCACATGAGTCTGTGCTTTCATCAACAATAATATAAAAATGTTCATCGCCCAGTGAAACTTTAATTTCTCCCATTACGGTTTCGTATACTGTTTGCACATTCTTCTTTCTAAGTGTGGATTCGTCAGGGATGTTTTGATTACAATATTTTTGCAAAAAATCTCTGAATTGTGTATTTTGCAGTTTCTTCAAAGGTATATTTGCTGCGACTAAAGCTTTGCATAAGTCTTGATGAAACACCTCCTTTTCACTCTTTGGTTTGACATTTTGAAATGCGGTTTGCACACACTGCTGAACAGGCACAGATTTATTTTTCTGCAACTTAGCTTTATGCATAGCTGTTTTCAAGTGTTGATCAATTTGGAACTTCTTTTCACAAACAATGATTTTGGCACAAACTTTGCAAAACACTTTATCCCCACTAAACTCCAACTCAGGAAAATTTTTAATCCACGAAGCGGCTTTCGGCATTTTAGGCGTTTGAAATAAAATATTTTCGAAATCACTCTTTTCACACTGGAATCTATCGACAAACTAAACTATACAATATAAATACAAAAGAATGGACCACATCTGCTCTCCATTAGGCAAGCTGATTACTTGGAAATTCCTAAACACCCAATAAATGCCGGCAATAAACCATATAATAATAAAACGGGTGAGCCGACAAAACCTACCCACCTTTTAAATTATTTAAATTATCTGCAAGGGTCGCACTTAATCTTTTGATAAAATGAAAAACATAAAAATATGCACACATATTTTATTTTTGCCGAAATATGCAATTTTTTATGAAATTTGTTAAAATATGCAAAATATGCAAATATATGCACTTGGCATATATTCCGCCCTTTAATTATAAATATCCTTGTCATTTGCATTATTTGACTTGGGATATCTCGTTTTACCAGAAATTCATTGACGTCATACCAATTCCACGACATTAGAACTACCTTTGTGAAAAATCGCTTATTTCTGTAAATTTGACAGTTATAATATTTTCAGTTAGTTAAAAGAGTAAAGTTTTTTTCAGAAACAATATATTTTGTTTTGGTGTGTTATATATAGTAAAGACTTTAAAATTAATTTAATTAACTTGCACTTAAGTTGTTGTCTCAATAAATGAGTCATAAAAATTAAGACTAATTTAAATCTACTGCATAGTAAAATATGTTTACTGTAAGTATCAAATGAGTTTACTGTAGGTTCATGCTATTTAGTATCAATTTGCAGTATTAGTGTTATTAAAACTAACCATTTTAGAATCCAGGATATGGTGAATATTCTGGTTACGGGCCTCCAGGACAGCCTCCTGTAAACCCAGATATTCAAAGATGGTTCGAAACTGTCGATAGAGATCGTTCAGGACAAATAAACTGGCAGGAACTGAAGTCTGCATTAATAAATGGCCAAGGTGAAAATTTCTCAGATCAAGCTTGTAAACTTATGATAGGAATGTTCGATACTGATAAAAATGGATCTATAGGTGTCAACGAGTTTCAGTTATTGTATAATTACATAAATCAGTGGTTGGCAGTGTTTAAAAATTATGACAGGGATGGGTCTGGCAGTATCGAAGAACAGGAGTTAGGCCAGGCATTTCACCAAATGGGATTTCGGTTTTCCCCAGAGTTTGTCAAATTTTTAATAACAAAGAGCGATTACAAAAACCACCGGCAGATGTCTCTAGATCAGTTCATAGTCGCTTGTGTGCAAATACAGAGGTACACAGAAGCGTTTCGGGCTAGAGATAGGGAGCTGAAGGGTGTTATAACGTTAGCTTTTGAAGATTTCCTTAACATTGCCATAAATTGCTCGATATAGACATGCATTTAGAAAGACAAATAGATCTCTCTCAATCTTATTATATATCATATTTTTATGTTATGTATTTAATCACCTATAATATTGTTAAATGAAATGTAATTTAAAATTTTTTTCAAAAAATTAAAATATATTATTTTTATATTTATGTTGTTTATTAGTCAGTTGAAATATTTATTGGTTGTTACTAGAATTTATTAATCTTTTATTGCTATTATCAAGGTAAATGATTTATTTCCATATAATACAATAAATTGTGTATTAGTTATAAGGTAAGTATAATAATTGAGATAATTGGATTCAGCGAAGAGTTCCTCTGGCAAACTTGGAACAAGTCATATGCGGGATTTTGCCCAAATCATCAAGGGGGCAAACATCTCTCAAAAAATTCCACAACAACGTCTCAATTTTTTCTAAGATTATTAAAGTAGGTATCAGACTGATATAAATGGAAACAAATAGTAAGATAAACACAACTAAATGTCATCCCTATATGCAAGAACTGCAAGGTAGACAACAAAAGTAAGGAACTGTAAAGGAAATGGAGAAGGAAAAAACAATATAACATCAGAATTTTGTTTTTTTTCATATATAAAATTAAATTACACTAGGCGCTCGCTAATCGGACGTTCAATAGTCTGACATTTCCAGTAATCAGACGTTTTGAATGCTTTTTGTGTGGGAATGGTCAGCTCTATAGTCGGACGGTTTTGATGGGTGACCACTCGGTAATCAGACAAAAGCAAGTTTATTGCACTCCACCACACAATAGATAAGTTTTTTCATTTACGGTAAAATTAAAACGTGAGAACAGTACATACAAATAATACATATTATTTTACTTAATTTTAAAAGTATTGTTTTTCAATAAACGTACCCTACTTTATATTAAACTCTATATCTAATCCTAATTATATATACCTAATCAAATTGTATATTTTTAAATGCCAGACTCTGATGTTTTGGATTACTCTCAATAGTCGGGCACTTCCAGTAATCGGACAACTCAATGGTTTTAGGCCGGTGTCCCATGCATCCGAAATCCGATGTACAATACCAGAAAATATTTTAATTCCTACGAATGATAATATTATAATTCACATGCATCCGAAATTAATCTCATAGAAATCAAGTATAGAACCATGGAATTTATTACAAGATGAAGGCGAAACATTTTCAAATGACAATCATGGGCATATATATTATAGAAAATATACGTAATATTATATTTTCTACTTTCGACATTATAATATAACATTTATTTGACTGTAAATATATCAAACAACAATCATAGTATGTTAAAAACTTAAAAAGTGAGGTTAAAAAACATACGATTTCGGATAAGAGTTAAAACTATTTCTACTTTTTCCGACGTCGTATGAATTTTAAAAATTTCGGATGAAAATAAGCGGTAAAAATTTGAATCTATATTAACCAATAGGAACACTTTCGGACCTTCGTATCGTCGGATTTCGGATGCATGGGACACCGGCCTAAGACATGTCCGATTAGCAAGCACCTACTGTATACCTACATTTTTAATAAAATTATCGTAATTAAATTTCTTAACGAGACGTGAAACATTAAAAACATTTAAGCAGGAGGTGATAGACCAGAAAAATTGTGTTAATTATTTTATTGGATTTTCTTCATTACATAATATTTAAAATCATATTTAAAAAAAAATCATACAACCTTTTGGCAATTCGTATATACTTGTTTCATAAAATGGTTTCATCTTGATCGTGTGCAGTATCATAAAACAAAAGACGAGTATTATAAGTTGTTACTTGTTAAATTTTATTCATATACGAGGTTTGATCAAAAAGTAACGGTAATTGTTAATTTTCTTAGAAAGTACCTATTTATCCCATCCCCTTCAAAGTAGTTCCTCTGTGATATACACTTATGCCAATGTAGTTTCCAGAAATACTGTGGAATGCCTCTTTATGTATCGTCTTGAGTACGGTTTGTGATTTTGTCTATCTCGTCTATTATTAAAAAACGTAGATTATCCTTTTGAGTTTAGGAAATAAGAAAAGTCAGGGGTCATGTCCGGAGAATAGGGTGGTTGTGGCATCAGAACCGTGTTGTGTTTCACCAAGAACTGTTGGATAAGGAAAGCAATATGGGCCGCTGCGTTGTCATATGGTGTAAAATTCACGAGTTCTCTCTTTTCTTCTGATTGACTCAAACAAATTGCGCAAATCTCGTAGGTAATACTCCTTGTTAATTATACCACCGGGCAATAAAAATTCGTGATGAACTATTTCATTGTAGTCGAAGAAAATGGTTAGAAGGGTTTTTATATTTGACCAAATCTTCGATGTACATTTGTACCTTTGATAAAATCGTGGTTTGCACTCACAAAATAAAATATGAAATACAATAGATAGGCATATTTATCAATGGGAGAAATTACATTTGCGGTCTTGAGCCAGTTTTTTTAAGTAACCTACTACTACTATCTACAAAAAAATATGCTTTAAATAATTTGAGTAATTATACTTTAAAAAAATTTTTGGAGGTCCAGTTTTTTACCTTCTGCGGTCTGGATCTGGCCGACCACTGGCTTATATATTTTAATTTGAAATGATTGAGGGTAGTTGAAATTAAAACCCTACTTTTAGAAACACCCTTTATATTGAAAAACATATGTGCAATGCAACGTTATGATTCCTAATGAAAAACTGCTCCATTTCATTGTGGCGTTTTCTTTATCGGAGTACTCTGCCGGGTAGAATGGAGTTTACCTTCATTAGCGACAAAGAGAAAATGGTAATTAAATTTTTAATAATGATAACAGATTTTGTTTTCATAACATAACGTTTCCTGGTTAATTTTGGATAACCGTCCAGGGTATTAGAACTTAATCAAAGGACGGTGGGGAATTTTTATTGTTTCTAGAGCTTGGATTAGTCGTTTATTCTATAAGGTTTCTTCTAGTTTCCAAATATTTTTGTTAATTAATATCAGTCAGAATCGAAATTCATGAATTTATACTATTATATACAGGGTGATTCATTAGCAATGGGAAAATTGAAAGGTGAAGATACTACACGTGAAATAGTGACCATTGGCGCTTCGGAAATACAGGGTGTTGAGGGTAAAAATTTTAAAACGTTTTTTTGCGATTATTCTGAAAATATGTAGGGTAGGGAAAATTTGTGAAACTATACTTTTTTAAGTGACATTTTTTAGTTGGCATTTGACCGCCCCCCGTTCCTGGGCGCAAATGCGGCCTGCTTAATAATAATATGCTGCCTCCTCTCCCGCAATTCTCGTGGTTAGAATGAGAAGTAGAGATATTATTATTATTATTATAATTATTATATAAACCATCATTAGAAGATCAATTTTGACGATAATTTTTGTGCACTCTTTTGATTTTCAATCAGTACTTCGTATGACTTAATCAGTTCATCTGTTCACACACATCTGCATGAACGATTTCACAGGCCAAAAATAAAAAAAATTGTAATATTGATGATATTTAATAGGAAATAATTTACATATACATATATTTATTATAACACCTTTTGTGTTTAAGTAATATTCTTCATTCAAAATACAAAATTTCTGAGATACTTCAAGAAAATGAGTGAAAAACTTAAAAAACTTTCAATGGTTATTAAACGGCATCGTTGGCGTTAATCCGTAAGACGACGGGGACGCTAGTACAAGGTAAGATTGCTATTTCCGTAACCACAGCCGTAACTAGATCTGGTGGTGTAACGTCATACAGCAGATTCAAGGGAGTCAGTTTGCTATTATCTTTCCAATTGTTCAAAGGAGACGGTTTTTCAGAACTGCCCATGACGGACAACTTATCAGGATCATCTAAAAGAAATAAATACAGGATGTTGGCTTAAAGTTTAGGGTGGCACCTTGTGATTTGTTGAAGGAAAGTTGCAACAATTAAAAATTAAACACAATGTAAAAGTCGAGGAACGAAAATATTTAGGGAGTAATTTTTACAATGCGACGAATGAATAAAAATGTTGCGAGACAGTATAATATTACTCACCTATTTCATTGTACACAAACGAATCCGTCTGAACCCTTTCACTGAACTTGTACGTCTCACAACAAACCAAGACAGGTTTATTGTATGCCTGCGCCACTAGGGCTACTTGTGCCGTTCCTATCCTCGACATCACATAACCATTGGTCAAGAGAGCGTGTGCACCTAGCAACACCTTAGTAACAGAGCTCATTATGTAACTGACAGCATTTATGAGAACATATGTGCATTTTATTCCTGCCTCCACCAGCCTCCTCGCCATTTCTCGACCTTCGAAGAGAGGCCTTCCATCGATTACCACCACTTCGAATTTCTTGCCATCTTTGTGGGCCTCCAGAAGTATTTTCCTGATTAGAGAGGAGCTAAAAAGGCAATAGTTTTGTAATGAAAGGTGACCGACTTCCTAACCAAATTTTATTAAGCATGATAAAGCAGTGCGAGTTTATTTAGTTCTCTCAGAATATTTACAAATTTTAGAGAATAGTTCCCCGCCATGAGAATATTTCATAAAAAATTACTTCCAAAATTTTCAAGGACATTTCCTGTCACCTGTCCAAAATCCCAGCGGTGAAAAATTTTATCAAAAAATTATATACTCTTTTTATTGGTGAATATAGTTAAATCATATTTATAATTCTGTACATTACAGTCTTATACCCTATCAAAAAAAAATTAAATAGGGATGACTTTTCATAATTAATTAATGAATACAAACAGGTTTTCTTTTATTTTTCACATAATTTTCATTTTCCTAAAAGTTACAGATATTTTAAATATTTAAGATTACTGGAAACCTTTTTAATTTTTGAGAACATTACAACAATAGAGTGAATTCATGAGAATTCCTGAATTGTTTTTTAACTAAAGAAGAACAATACAGGTAACACCAAAAATTACATTTGTTAAATTAGCGTTTATTCTAGATTATTTTTGTTCGTTCTCAAAAATACTATTCAAATATAAAGTAGTGAGAATTTTGTATCATTAAAAGTGGTTTATTAGATGTTTTACATGTTAAGGACCAAATTCAATTTAATCAAATCATAGTCAAATGTCATTAAATAAACTCGCAGTAAAAAAACACTTACCAACCGTAGGTCAAAATAATGTCCCCATTTTTAATTTTTTCATTAACCTTCATACTGATGGCATCTCCAGCTTTCCTGATATCGTCGTTAATATAAATATCAATCACATCTTGTAATTTAGCCCTCTTTTCGTTATCCTTTAAATTACTGTCTATCTGCGTTAGCTGCAACTTAAAGTGTCTCAAGGCATTGGTCATTGACACTGCAAACGGTCTACAGTTCTGTAAATAGCTTGTACAGTTCTTTAAGACAGATTCTAAGTACCTACAGAATTCTTGCTTAGGGGGAGTCTGTAAATCATCCACTAAGTGCCTCAATGCATTTAGAAGTCCTAAACACCTTGAGTTGGATCCTAGAATAGTCTTATTTGAATACTGCACACCTAGTTTAATAAAAGCAGGATGAACGTCTTTATAAACAGCTAGGACTTTGCACTCAGATTTTAATCCACTTCCGTACAAATGCTGCACTAACTGAACTTTATGAACTTGGCTAGGTTTATTCATTTCTTTCTTAATGGGAGACTTCTTTATTTCCACTTTATTTTCCTTTGGAGGAGGAGGGATGATTTGTGTTGGTTCTAGTTCTGCTTTTTTTATAATAGGTTTTACTTCGGCTTTGGCCAATCTCTGAGCTTCTTGCTGCTCTCTCCGTTTAGCCTTCAATTCTGCTTTGCTCAAGGATTCCTTGCTATCTTTTACACCATCTTTAGGCTTTTGCTCTGCTAGTTTCTTCTCCCATTCTAATTTTCTTCGTTCCTTATCTGTCAATTGCTTATTAGTTGATTCCGAGGGTGTTTCATTCACGCTATTGAGTACGTTTTTATTTATTTCATTGGACACCACATTGTTTACTACAGCTGTAGATACTGGTTTTGTATTTTCCTTAATTTCATGACTATTTACTTTGTTATTGGTCACTGCAACATTATTTTCTAGAGACTGCTTAGCTTGAACTTTTAAAGCTCTTCTCTCTTTTTTTGTTAAACCATCAGTACCCACTTTTTCTTCTAAAAATAATTATGAATAAGTTAACACTCGCACGATTGTGAATAATAAAATCAGTTAATATAAAAGTAAAATCAGAATTTAGACATGTTTATTAAAATTTCATACATACTTTTTATATTCTGCTGGGATTTCTTTTGCGTGTCCATAGTGATAAGAAAAATGTATGACTTTATTTTTAAATATATATGGTCTCAACATTTAGCACATAAAATATATAAATAAAATTAATAACATATGCTTCCTAACCTCAATATTTTACAATGATGCCAGATTTAAAAGACATCTAATAGAATGTTATTTTATCTTTTGAACAATACATAAACATGAAATATTTATAACTGCCGTAACTGCTAACATCTAATATAAAAATTTTGTATCATACAAAAATGATATGCAATTCTTCGAAATAAAATTACACCATTCATTTACTTTTTGGCAACATTGTAAAAATGATGCAATGAGTGGAATAAGTTTCAAAGAAGCGAATGTGGTTCTTTTTTATGATTTATAGCAGCTGATTAATTGCAAATACTATAGTAAATATGTAATGAACCACTTATTTTATCATTTAAGTTGCATTATTAACCAATCAACTCTTTACTCTTAAGGCTAATGAGAATATAGGTATAGGTATTACAAACAAAATACAAATATTTCTTTAAAAAGACATGAAAATACAGGAATGTTACTTTAATGTTCCATATTTTTAATTGAGAAATTATTTTAATATTACAAGGAAATTAAAAAAATATTGATATTGATATTGGTGCTGCCATCTTCCTTCTTTGTATTTGTAGTTGCATGAGTGATTTTAGTTAACGATCTCTGCCATAGCCATAATTAATTTTTCTTCATTGGTCCATAGATGGCAGCACAACAATTACATATCCTGTTTCTCTAACAAAATAGTAAACAAAGACAGATAGTGATAAGTTTTATATAAACTTCGTGAAGTTCGTGTTTATTTTACGACTAAAAGCTAAAAACAGATGTTTTTTATTTCACCGGGCTATTGTAAACATTAGTTAAAAGTGCTGAAATAACTGACACCTGTTTAGTGCCGATTCTTTTTATTATTATACGCATCTCGAGATTACTAACCTCAATGAATAACTAACGAATGCTTGTGACTAATTAAACAATCAATTAATTAGTGTTTATGCTTTGCAAAATATGGGAAAAGCTGAACAAATGAGCGACAATGTACCAGGGATGTCACCTCAAACTGAAGCCAGTAAATTGCTGGAGCAAGCCCTCATGCAAATGGATGGGATCATTTCAGGTTAATTTACATTATAATTATAAAGTTACAACTAATTTTTATGCATTTAAACGCTTTCCTACGTCAGATGATAATTAATTCTATGTTATCTAATTTATCTCGACATTTTTTAGCGTACATATGAATAATAGCATTAATCAACTATCGTGGTCTAAGCATAGGCGTAACATTTAAATTTTGCGAGGAGGGTCGTGGGAAGAACGTATATTATCTATCTGAATATTCAGATAAGCATATTGCCCACTGGTTTTATTAAAGTTTAAAAAAATGTTACTTGTTTTTAAAGAAATTAATGTACTTAGATGTATATTTAAATAGAGAAGCATAAATGCCAACAAATAATGTTGCGGTCAAAGTATGTTTAATGGGCCAATTTATAAAAAAATAATATTGTTAAAAAAACTAGGCATTACACAAGTATTACAAGTAATTGTGAGGGAATTACTACGATATTAGAATCATTGCTAACAGATAGTTAACATTTCATTTGAATTAGATGCAAAATGGGCATTAGTATACAAATTTTAAACCAGTGGTTTATTGGGCTGAATTATGAAATGTATACTATCCTACCTCTAATTCTCTAATTATTATAATTATATTTGTTTCAATTTCAATTTGAACACATTCACAAATGAGTTCACAAATAAAGCAAGACTAAAATATATTTGGCATAACTATTGTTGTTAACATATTATCTTTAATTTCAATTTAAACACACTCGCAAACATGCTCGCAAATTAAGTAAAACTAAAGTAGATGTATTTGGTATAATCGTCATTATTTATCATAATAAAATTGTCTGCCAGCATTTGGTTGGAGATGACGTATAACTGGTTGCATAAAACTCGGTGACGCATTAAATTTTCTCTCCAGAGGCATAGTCAGCAGAGGGACAATAAAGATACTGACTCCTTAAAAAAAATTTTGTTTGAAACAGCATCAAACATGTATGCATAGAAAAATAATAAGAAGAAAAAGAACTTTATAATGTAGGTATTTATTTGAGAAACAATTTTTCCTTTTAACATTTTAACATGAACAATTATTTCCAAATGGAATTACACACGGTATAACGTGTCGCTTTTTGTATTATGTTAGTTATTCTTATTATCTAAAATGTTTTAAAGGAAAAAAAAAACAACCATAAGAAAACTTTCTAGTCCAACATAAATCAGCTTTTACCACTCCAATATCCTTATGGCAAACCTCTTAACGTAGAACGTGGCATATATCGAATCTGTCGGGAGAATTTTAACGCGAAACGTTTGAGCATGTCATTCGAAGGAAGTTTATAAGCTCTTACGCCAATATTTACTGCCTCCATGAATTTGACCACGTTCTCTCCCCTGAACCGTAGAATAGTAGTCACCAGTGCCATGTTGTACCTGTCATGAAGGCATGGGCACGCATTTTGAATGAACTCCCACTTGCAAGAAGATTAAAATATAGCATAATAATTAATTTATTATTCCTTCATTATGTCAAAAGTCAAAACCGAGACAAAACAAACTTGTAACCCTTCCCATATGGCATGCTGGAATTAAAATATCTGATAAAAATACAAATGAACAACTTTCAACTTATGCCATTGAGCATTGAAAACTCTCAAAATATCAATGAGTCAGTGAACACTAAATCTTTCTATGATATACCGCTACCATCTGATAATATTGCAAAATGGAATGATGGTCATTAAAAATAGTTTAGTAAAACATTTCGATTCAAGATAAATAAATAATGGTCACCAATGTGTTATTGGCACAAATATTTATTTAATTAATTTTTTATTTCACGGGTGAAACGATATCAATAAACAGGGAAGAAACTTAAACTATAATATATCACTGTACTACAATTAAATAACTTGAGATAACAGGTACTTAATAGCGTTTAGAGCCGTCGGGTCATGCCAGTCAAGTGGTGTGACGTCACAAAAGCTTTACGAGAGGCTTGGGCCGTTTCATATTTTCTGTCACGGTTAGTTAAGTTACCTGATTTTTTCACCGTTCATTTAAGGGATGTTATGTACTGCCATCTAAATGTAAAAAAATGTATTAATTTATATATTAGTAGAATTAAAAGTAACTGTAATTAACGACAGTAACGCGGCTGCTTCCGCCAAGTGGCCAGCATTATTGGTAAAGCCCAATGATCCCACATTAATGGTCCTTCGAGCCGGATTTGAACCAGCGACCTATGGATCATTAATGTGGGATCGCAATACTGTTGATAATTACAGTTACTTTTAATTTTACTAATATATGAATTAATACATTTAGATGTAACAGGGGGTTATAAATTAAATATTACTGAATGAGCCCATTGAGAGTGAATGTGTTGATGTACTGAAAAAGCGTCAATTGTACTGATTTGATTTCAATACAACTGTACTGACGGGAATAACACTGATAGAGCCCTATGCTAGGTACTACAAGCACGTAGGTTCGGGTTCCCTCTTTCAAAATATACCCACTGTTATGGAGAGCGCGCGCACAGCTCCAGACTCCGGAATATCTGGAATTCCGGCAGCCGGAGTAGAAGTTACGGCCAGTCGCCCTCACAATAGACTCCAACAAGTGTCGAGTCGCGAACTGCCCTCGTCTTCGATATTTTTCTCGGTTTGTGGCGCGCCAAGGGGTTAGTGCACCCGGGGGGAGCGCTGCCGGGATTATTGCTTCGGTTTTTATGGGGGTTTTACGGTGTCGAGATTAATACGTTCGCCGTGAGAGTGGTCCCAGGAGCTGTTAGTGTTTACTGGATAGTTTGATTGTTCTTCTCTTTTAACAGTAAAACAGAAATATTGGATGATCGTATAAGTGTGATGTTTTGTTGTTAATTTTTTATACAGGGTGTCTTCATACGCTATATGAATATCATTGCTTAAATTATACCCGGAAATTTTTTCGACCACGGATATTTTGAAAATTATTTCGGGTTAAAGGCAAGGGACAATTTTCAAAAATATTCGAAACCAAGAAAAAATATCCCAGAATAATTTAAGAATGTGTAGTATTTGGTAAGAAAATTACACATCAAACCTGACAATTTGAAGCCGAATCACTGAATCAAAATGTAAAGAAATCGATGCCAGCCATGCTAAGTGTTACTGCTGTCACGTTGACGTTAATTGTTTAGTCGACGTGAACTTTTGTCGTAATTGTTGTGTTTTAAAATGTCTCGTTTCGGTAAACAAAAATACCACAAGAGTATGGAAACAGTTTATCGAGTTCTGCGGCGAAAAGATGTACAGAGTAGACAACTCTCTGTCGAACAATTAGCGAACATTTTGGAAGATTATGCTTTCAATATGAAGGGGAGAAATTGTGAAAATTATGAGGAAAGTAATTAAAACAGTATGGAACTCCACGGAAAAATATTTATAAGAAATGTTTTACGAAAGATTATAAAATTAAGTTCAATTCATTTTCTGATTTAGAATTTGTGGCCTCCAGAGGTGCTCGAGAAGATGTTACAGCACGATCCCTTCAAAAGAAAAACCAGCGCCCGATCATTTACCGGTTATGAATATAAAAGGATCATCGAAATTTGGAGGGAAGGTATCCCAAATTTTTTTCATAATGGTTTACATGAATTAGCACGGAGATGAGGGGAAGGATTTTCTACTAACATTCAATTTTTCAGTGAAGAAACTGGATAAAATAACAAGTCGCATTAAATATAACCCATTCTTACCTAAAACTACATAAGGAGATTCAAAAACATTGGCAGATAAATAGTTAACTATAAAATCGGATAATCCCCAAATAGGTTCTGTCCGTCTGTACATGAAATTGACAAAAAAAAGATCACATGAAGACTGGCTGATTGTTTTTAACTCCTAATCCAAACCGGTAAAAAACAAATTTAAGGGGTGGTACAAGAACTGCCCATTTGAGAATACTATATCTTTGTGGTTTAAATCCGTAGCTTCTGATATAGGGAAAAAGTTAAAATAATCATTCTGCAAAAGCGACTGCTGTCCTTTTTTTGGCCAAAAATGGGGTTGGAGAACTTATTCAAATTACAGGGCAAAGTAACAACCAATCAATCAAACTTTACATTTAAATGTGGA